AAATGTTTACCGAATATAAAATCAGAAATAAACTCATGCCACATTTTAAGAAGCCAGAAAAGTAAATATTAAACCGCATAGAGTATATAATTAAGACCATACTTCCGATAGTCAAAGTAGTCCTATATCTGGATAATCTGAAAAAGAAAGACAGAAACAGAGTGAGCTACAAGGCTCAATAGTGGCATAAATCCCAGATCTCGGTCAGTCACTATAGACAAGGAAAACTCGCCAAAGTGAACAATCTCAAAAGTAAACAACGCAATTAATTACCAGAAATGTAACCGGTTCGAACTAAAATAAAATAAACAGACTTGTTGAGATGATCGATAAAACAAAGACTGAATCTAACTTTGATAAAGTCAAAGGCAATCTACTGAGAAAGTCTATAGTTACTCGTTCACAAATCCATTTTGAAGTCTGTATGGTTGAAATAAACTAGGCAGAATGGAATTCTAGTTTTCATACTTTCAGAGTAATTCCCGAAATTAACTTTTTCTCCTAGAGATAGTCTGAAATAGAGTAATACAGATGTTACATCCTTTCGATTTTCAGAATATAAACAATACAAGGGAAATTCTTATATCCAGTCTCATTCAAAATACTTCATAACCTATACTCATATTTTAGGACAATGAATATCACATACATAATTAATAATTCCCGAGAAAGAGGAATGATAGTGTCGAAACACTTTCCCCAAGTCAATTTGAATTAGAACGATTATTAACCAAATGAGGAAGCTATTAGTAGTTATCGAAATTAATCTATAGAGGATTTGAAGGAATTCAAAATTGTTCATATCAAAATAATATTCCATTATGGAATGTCAACTTTACACAAATTTTTGGTAGAATAAAAACTTGAACAAAATATTGCTAAAAAACATTTTTGTACATAGGAAACCACAATGTGATAGAGAAAGAACTCGAACAGGTTAGCACTATTACAGGGATCCATTTATATTCTTATATTGTCGAACAGAACTGGAATTTTATCAAAACTCACAATCGAGAAGAACTTAGAAGAATATTTAGTCATACGCCATATATAAAAGTTCTACGAGTTACCTCTAAGGAAATATTTTATAACATGTCTAGAGATTTCAGTCAGAGTTTTCCATATAAAACTGAACATAATGTTGAAAACCAGATATTAACACATTATTTTCAAGAGTAAATAAAGAAAAAAAATTATAATTGTTAATAAAGTTTAACCGAGGAGGACTGAAGAGTGTTAAAAGAAAATCAAGAACATGTGTCGTTATTTGACTTAATTGCAAGAGTTCAGACCTTACATCCGAAATAGCCAATTAATGTGTCTAGACGACATCAGACATCCAAACCAGGCTCACGACTATATATTTTAAGTATTAAACTATCATTATATATAAGTAGTAACTTTCCAGAATAGCATCGGAGTTTCGATAATTTCAGAAAAATACTTGAAAATCTTGTGGCATGATTTTTTCAAAAATTATTTTTCATACTTTTCTAAAAAACTTTTTGCAAATTTGTTTTAAACAAATTTTCATAATTATAGCAGTCTGCACAGTCTGAGAGTTTAAACCTAGGCTATGATACCATTAAATGTAACATTCTAAACCCAACCTAGGAGTTACAACTGAATCAAGGTGACCATGTTGATCACATATACGATCCACGAACAAAAAATTTTAATAAGTCGTTATGAAAAATGTTTATCGAATATAAAATAAGAAATAAACTCATGCCACATTTTGAAAAGTTTGAAAAGTAAATATTAAATCGCATACAGTGTATAATCGGAACCATATTTTCGATAGCCAAACAGGTCATATATCTAGTGTTGATCTATGCTTTGATATAACGATTTATGGCAAAATGTTTTTGAACTTGAATTGAATTTATTCAAAGTTTTCAAAGTTTATAAAAATAATTCAAAGTCCATTTAATTTAGAATTGAGCATAAAAATATTTTATGAATAGTAGTATACTGTATAAATAATACCGATACTGTATAAATAATATCGATACTGTGTGAACAATATAAATAGTATCAGCACTGTATAAATAGTAACAGTAATGAACAGTACCCGATGCTCAAAAAAACATCGAATGTAAAATGTGTATCGGTACTGCTATAGTGTATCGATACACTGCTATAGTCATTTCAGCCTAACGGTCATAAAATTCAAATTTTATGAAGGGATACCGGATACACCTTGATAGTGTACCTATACACCTTGTTATAGGCAGTTTTATTTTGCAGAAAATGAATCCCCAACAGCTCCAAAAAATCTCCAACGGCTATATACGACTTCAAACTCATTCCTAGCAATACAAGTTGAGAACACTTGAAGAAGTATGAGCTCAACTATCCAATCATTCAAACACAAGAAAAGATTTTTCATTCTTATTTTCATTATCTCTTGTAAATATTGTTCCAGTGAGCTTAATTCTTGTAAACACCTACCTTTGATAGGTTTATTTATTTACTTCTTTTATCCTTTTGTAAAGGGGAAATGTTCTAGCTAAGCCCGTGAAAAAGTTAGGGAAATGTTCTAGTTTAGCCATTGAAAAACTAGGGAGTTGTAAAGGTTATCTCTTTATCCTTAAAAAGAAAGAACAAATTAGTGAATTTGTTGGAAAATCCTTGGTAAGGAGCTAAGGTAGTGGATGTAGACTTGGTTGAGAAGTCGAACCATTATAAATCGCAGTACAATTCTCTATCTTTCAATCTCTTTACTCCCTAAACACAAAAACCATTCCGACTCCTCTTTGCAAACCGTTTCGTTTGTCAATTCGAGCTTCCGTTAAATCCCAACATCTGGATAATATGAAAAAGAAAGATATAAACAGAGTGAGCTAAAAGGCTTAATGTGTCCTTTAAAATTTAATCAGATAATACTGAAACACAGAAAAATTTCAAGTGTAAAATAATAAACAATTAATATTAAAATTTAGATATTTTACCAGCATAATATCCCAAAAGAAATTCACAATCTTACTTTTCGTTATGAATCAACAGAATATGCACATTACCTTACAATGAGATATAAAAAACTGAATACTAAAATCAAAATGGGAATTTAGCCCTCATATGAGGATCCCAAACAGAATCAGGACGGAGATATAATTTTATGCAGATGTCAGAACAGATAATTTATCCCATTCAGATGTTAGAAGGGGTCGTTTATCACATACAAATGTTAGAATGGGGAACGAGGTCCCATGCAGAATTAGGACGGGGACTAAGCCCATGTAGAATCAGGATGGGAAATAAATCACATGCAGAATCAGGACGGGGAATAAATCTCATGCAGAATTAGGACGAGGATTATGCCATCCATAGAATATCCCATGTAGATATCATAAATGCATGAACATGTAAATTAATGATGATGTCATAGTATTTAGAAGTTAGATATGTCGCGTATAAATATATAAATATATATATATATATATATACTATTATCATATCAAAAAAATGTTTACAGATAACAACATATATCATAACACGTTAAATATATCGAATAGGTCAAGGGGAAATACCTATAAGAGAAAAATGCATATCGGTCAGGCCTTACATTTCTCACGTTAGTAGTACTAGGTCCTACGGAATGGGAACCTAAAACGGTACTAGTCTATGAACACAAAGTCCATAATTCTAAATGATAAAAGATTATAAAGTCACTAAATAATACTTATGTGTATCTCGAGATAAATGAGTAGAATCGAACTGAGCTGAGCGAGAATGGTTAGGGTCAACTAGTGAATGATGCTGAAAAGCGTAATCATCTTCAGAAATCAATATAAAAAAGTGAGTCCAAAATCCCACAATTTACTTAATTAAATCATGACTTTAAGCAATAAACGATGCAAAACAGGGTTTTCAGGTCAGAATTTGTCCTAACAAACTACGAAAATGAACTCAGGACGTCGAAAAACATAAAGATATATGGTTTTGAAAAATGTCAACAGTCAAAGTTAACGGTTAACAGGTCGGTCAAACGGGTCGGGTCAATGTGTCGGTCAAACAAGTCAGGTCAATGGTTCAATGGGTCAGTCTAATGGGTCCGTGATCGGCTCAGCCAGTTCAATCGAAAGGGGGACAAGTTCAGTCGGTCCAAACTGTCGGATGAATCTCATGCGCGCACGTTGGCGCGTGGGGGACTTTACGGTGGCCAAAAAAATACAAAAAATTTGCAGAAAAATAATTCCAACTACGAGGATTCACTTATCGAGGTCAGTTTGCGAAAAAGATCAATGGAGATGGGATTTTTTGCGAAACCCGAACATTCAAAACTTTACAGATTGCAAACGGCGATGGTGAACGGAAATCCAAGGACACCGGATGAACGGGATCGATGAGATGAACGCAATGGTACCGGAGGTGCCAAACACCTCCTCTCGGTTAGCAGCAAATCGAAGAAAAACCAACAACGTTTTGTTGAGAGAGAGATAATAGAGAGAGAGAACCAATTAAGGTGCCCATTTTTTTTTCCTAAAATACCAAATAGTAACCGTGAATGCAAATTTTGGGTATTCAAACCCCAAAAATTATAAGTTAATTACAACCCAAAGCCCCATATTTTTAAAGAATTCCCAAATAGACGAGTAAACTTACCAGCACTTCAATTTCACCTAAGTTTTGTGGTGTATCAGAAAAAGGTAAACTACACATTTAGTATTTAAATTTTTACTTTTATTTTGTTTTAGTACCTAAATTTCATTTTTTTTCAAAATCATACTGAATATATATAGTTTAAATTTAAATTTAGTACTTCGCTGTTAAAAAATTAACAGAATTACTAACGTGAGTTTTTTCAATGATGACATGATAATACCTTATAGTGACAGATCAATATTACCATTAAGTTTTTAACGATGGGTACCAAAATAAAACTTAAACTAAACATTAAAAATATTTTAAAAAAATAAAATTTGGTATCAAAACAGAATAAAAGTAATTAGGTACTAAATGTGTAATTTACCCGCAGAAGACTACAAGAGCATTTTAAAGAGAAAAAGATGTGGATAACATAAGCCATAACATAGACAATTTGAAACATCAAATACAAGGTGAAAACTGAAAGAGGGGTTCTAAATGTAAAAATCCAGTGAACTACAGAATCATTTTCTCTTTCCACTTGTATGAAAATCAAGTTGACTGGACTGCGTTACACATCCCCGGATTCCTAATGCACCACAGTGGTTGAATTGGTTCAGCCTTTCACCCCTCTACTTACCATCCTATACCTCCACTCGTTCAACCTATCGGTTGCCTCGCCGGACCTCTTTCTCCCGGCCTCATCGCAGTTCCCCGACCACAATGTCTCCGCCATTGCCGAAGTTCTCGGCCATAACCTACCATCCAAAACCGTAGGATCAGCTTGTTCTGACCACAATGCCACCTCTCCACCGAGTACCAATTTAGCTTCCTATCGGTTGCCTCGCCGGACCTCTTTCTCCCGGCCTCATCGCAGTTCCCCGACCACAATGTCTCCGCCATTGCCGAAGTTCTCGGCCATAACCTACCATCCAAAACCGTAGGATCAGCTTGTTCTGACCACAATGCCACCTCTCCACCGAGTACCAATTTAGCTTCATCTTCACTCAAACCAAGAGTAATGTCATAGTTATAAATGGTTTGCCATGCTTTAAATGGATCACACCAAGAAGCACCTTCTTTGTCTCCTGTTGCTTGTGAATCATACCGACTATCATTCCCTAGAAAACCTCCGTGGCCACAGTCTAAATAATAGAACTCCGAAGACGATACAATTGTCCGGTATCCGGCTTCAACTATCTTTTTGGTGTTGCTTGGGCCATTGTTCCATGTTTGTAAAATGGTGTGCTCCTTTGGAAGAAATGAGGAGTCTACTTTCACAATATCATCTAATAGAACATCCTCCCAATAGACCACGGTACGATTGAGGGATATAATGTAAGGCAACGTTGAGTTGATAAATTTTTCTAGGACCTGGCTTAGTGTTCCACCATTTGAAAGGAAAGATTGAATGGTAGGATCGGCTTTCCAGCATCCAGGAGTTATCTCATCAGCACCACCATGGTAGAAAGTTTCGGGGAACATATTGGACACATCGCGGATTACGTTCTCGATAACTTTGTAGGTTTTCTGGTTCAAGGGATTTAGATGACCAGTTCCTGGCTCGGCCGCAAGACGGTCAGCCCAATCACTTCCCGGCAACCAGAACATGTATGCACAGGCAACTATTTCCGGATAGGCTTCTGCCCATGATCCTGTATGCCCTGCAATTCCGAGGTAAAATGAAATTCATCATCTAGTTGATGCCATAGTTGTTTTCAGTGGTGAAAAGTTACTTTAATAAAAAGCTTACCTGGTGAATCAATTTCTGGTAGGACCCTGACCCCATGTTCCAAGCCAAACTGAACAATCTTAGCAACATCCGAGGGAGAATATATCATGTCCGGACCATAGGATCCCTTGGCGGCGAGCTCCGGCTCCGAAGGAACCATTAGAGGAAAAGAATGGGAATCAGTAATATGCCAATGGAATACATTAAGTTTGTTAGCACTCATTGCCTCAATAGTCCTTAGTATGTCTTCCACCCCATAATAATTCCTTGAAGTATCCAAAATGACTCCCCTGTGTGCAAACAAGGGAGCATCCCAAATATACAACCTGACGGGTATAGCTGGAGGATCGCCCCATACCAACTGCGAAAACGTCTCTAAACCCCGTATTGCACCCCATGCCGTTTCGGCTGTCAAATAGGCCGTTCCACCTGCTTCAGAAATGGAGAGGGAGTAGGTCTCGTTGGCTCCGTGTTGGAGGGGTGCAGCGAGATCGGTTATCTTGATGGAAAGAGTTTGCAACGGAGCGGCCGAGGCCGAAACTTTGACAGAAGGGGTGATAAGGGGATGGTAGTGCTCGGTCCGGACGAGGCTGAGGTAGCGGTTGACGGCTGGCGTCAGGTGCTGATGGTAAGGAGAATCCATGGTGAAGTTTGCAGAAAGGAATCTGGCAAGTGGTTTCGGCCATGAAACCAACCTTGGTTTGGGCCAAACATTGACTGCAGATTTCAGGGACAAGGTTGGTGGTGGAAAAATCAATGCCAGGCAGATTATGATGGCAAATTTCGAGATGGGATGAACAAAGACATGGAACATTGACTTCTTTCCTTCACAAATCCTCATTTCAATTGCTTATCTCTTTAAGCTTGGTGGTTGTGGCTGTTGAGAGCCTTAAATGCACTAGTTTGAAGTGCAAATCACTCTTCTTTATAGCACTGCTACCAGTCTTCTTCCCATTTGGAGTTTTGCATTTGACTTGTCCAAAGCCGAAGACTTTAGTCTTCCATTGTCTTCGTGTCACTAACCATCGAATAAAAAGCAGAGAAAAAAGCAGTAAGGACATTTTTGTAGGCCAAACTGCAGTCATTATCAAACAAACTCATCTTCCAATGTAATTTCTCCAACCACCTTACTAATTTTGAAATCAAAGAAAAACCAGTTGTAATACTTCAATTTTGTTGCATTCAGTGACAATTTAAGGCTCTTGATTGTCAATTTCAATAGCTAAATTCACCATAAAAAAACATGCCGGCTTTGCCAATTGTCAATGGTGATGAGAATCCAATGGCCGGCTCTGTCAATTTTCTTATATAAACTGACGTAAATATGAGTCAACAAAAATGAGCAGAAAACAATAATACAAAACTATCCTACCTGCAACCAATACTTATTTTATACAATTAGTTTCCAGCTTTGCCAATTGTCCGCAATTACATTTATGGTATAATTTATGTCGACCTTGTTTCGTTCAGGATTCGCCAAACAACAAGAACTGAAAGATACAGACAAGAACTTAAACTGCCTTTCCAATGATACAGAAAAAAACTATGAAACCATCTAATGCAAAAGTTGGGTGCTGAATCTCTGCGCTTTAGTGTTTTCCTATGTCTTCCTGTCTTGTTTTCACTGAACTCCAGATTCCTATATTGTTTCCTTAAGATTAGGTTATGTCGCCCTGGCTTTTCTCCTTCGTACTTCCAACAATTAGTATAGATGGATCGAGGGATGCTGGCGTATGGTCTTGAAAATTTCAAATTCTATATAGTTTAAATACTTTCTTTGTATTTTTTTCTTGATTATTTAAATACTATAAAATATTATTTGTTAAATTTTTATTAATAAAGTGTCATTTTTCATATTTGTTCGAACTTAAAATCTATAAGAAAAACAATATTATCTTCTACCACTAAACCATGAAATGGATTCGGAGCTTTAGAACTTAAAGGCTTAAATTGAATGTTTAATATTAGGGAGATGGCAAGGTTAGGAAATTGTCTGTGTATTGCCTCCTACATTAAAGAACAAGTAATTTCCTCACTAGATTGAAGCAGTAAAACAAGAAATAGGATACAAGGAAAACTAAAATGGAACTTACCTGGTGGGCAGTGGAAGCAGACGCTGCAGCAAAAAACGAAAACCCAATCCATCTTTTTGTTTGATGAATTTATACGATGACAAACTAATTGCCGAACCTAACGGGGCTTTGATTTATCTGTTGGAAGAAGTATTTATCTTTTTGCAGAAATTGGGCCATTGCACAATGAGTGTTTTGATCTGTTAAAAATGATGGGTCTGGCCCTTTTTCACTTTTAAACCCTAAAAACCTGTAAAATACAAACGAAATGGGGAACGAGCCATTGTTTGTATGTAACTGAAGTTGAGATTCAACGCAGTCTCCGTTGTTTCTCTTTATCCTCCATCATCTCCATCCAGTTCTCTGTTTTCCGCCGCTATCCAGCAAAGATTATTCGATCTACAGAGCCTGCTCGTAGGCTCAACGCCGTATTCATCAGTAACCTCAGGTACTTCCCTTTTTCAAATTTTCCTTTTTATTTTATTGCTTGTTTCGTTTTCTGTGAATTGAATTTTGTTTTGGGTTTTCGATAGATTCCATCAGTTTCACGTGATGGCGACAGAGGGAGCCAAGAGCTTCGCAAGGAGAGACAAACTGCTTGAAATCGAGTCAAAGGTTAGAGTTTGGTGGGATGAGAAGGATGTTTTCAAGGCAGAGCCCGGCGAGAAACCACCTCAACCAGGTGAAAAATTCTTCGGGAACTTTCCTTTTCCCTATATGAATGGTTTTTTACATCTGGGTCATGCCTTTTCTCTTTCGAAACTCGAGTTCGCTGCTGCTTACCATAGATTAAGAGGCGCGAATGTGTTGTTGCCATTCGCGTTTCACTGCACTGGTATGCCCATCAAGGCTTCTGCCGATAAACTCGCTAGAGAAATCCAAATATTCGGTGATCCACCCGTTTTTCCTCACGAGGTTGTTGAAGAGGAACCTATTTCGAAAGAAGAATCTGACTCAAATAAAGGTGCCAATGTGGTGCCTGATAAGTTTAAAGGGAAAAAGTCGAAAGCGGCGTCTAAGTCGAGTGGACAGATGTTTCAGTGGGAAATTATGAGGAGTTTTGGACTTTCGGATAGTGACATATCGAAGTTTCAGAACCCATATGAATGGCTTAAATTCTTTCCGCCATTGGCTGTTGAAGACCTTAAGGCATTTGGCCTAGGTTGTGATTGGAGAAGATCGTTTGTGACTACGGATATGAATCCGTTTTTTGATTCCTTTGTTAAGTGGCAGATGAGGAAGTTGAAATCGATGGGTAAGATCGTTAAAGATATGAGGTATACTATATATTCTCCCTTGGATGGCCAGCCTTGTGCCGATCACGATAGGGCAACTGGTGAAGGAGTTCAACCTCAAGAGTATACCATTATTAAGATGGAGGTGGTGCCACCTTTTCCGGCCAAAATGGGTGTTTTGGAAGGGAAAAAAGTGTTTTTGGCTGCTGCGACATTGAGGCCCGAGACCATGTATGGGCAAACAAACTGCTGGGTGTTGCCTGATGGGAAATATGGAGCCTTTGAAATCAATGACACCGAGGTGTTTATTCTGACCGAGAGAGCAGCACTCAACCTTGCTTATCAGAAGCTCTCCTGTGTTCCCGACAAGCCTACTTGCTTGGTTGAGTTGACTGGATATGATCTAATTGGTCTTCCTGTGAGGTCTCCGCTCTCATTTAATGAGATCATATATGCTCTTCCGATGCTGACTATTCTAACAGACAAGGGTACCGGAATTGTCACTAGTGTTCCTAGTGATGCCCCTGATGATTATATGGCCTTACATGATCTGAAAGCAAAACCTGCTTTTCGGGCAAAGTTTGGGGTGAAAGACGAGTGGGTGCCCTTTGAGATTGTACCCATTATTGACATTCCTGAATTTGGTGACAGAGCTGCTGAAAAAGTTTGTCTGGATCTTAAAATTAAAAGTCAGAACGAGAAAGACAAGCTTGCCGAGGCAAAGAGGCTGGTATACTTGAGAGGTTTTACCGAGGGAATCATGACTGTTGGAGAGTATGCTGGAAGAAAAGTGCAGGAAGCTAAGCCACTGATAAGGACCAAACTGATTGAGACGGGCCAAGCAATAATTTATAGTGAGCCTGAGAAGAAGGTCATGTCAAGGTCTGGCGATGAGTGTGTTGTGGCTCTAACCGATCAGTGGTATATCACATATGGTGAACCAGAATGGAAAAAATTGTCCGAGGAGTGCTTATCTAACATGAATCTGTACTCTGATGAGACACGGCATGGCTTCGAACATACTTTAGGATGGCTGAACCAATGGGCTTGCTCGCGATCCTTTGGTCTCGGGACTCGCATTCCCTGGGATGAGGAATTCCTTGTCGAGTCATTATCTGACTCAACCATTTACATGGCTTATTACACAGGTGCTCATCTCTTACAAAATGGGGACATGTATGGAAAAAGTGCTGTTCTGGTTAAACCTGCCCATATGACTGATGACGTCTGGGAATTTCTCTTCTGTGGTGGTCCTTATCCCAAATCTTCAGATATAGCATCCTCTGTTCTTAATAAGATGAAGCAGGAATTTGAATACTGGTACCCATTCGATCTTAGAGTGTCCGGAAAAGACCTTATCCAGAACCACTTGACATTTTGTATTTACAACCACACAGCAATCATGTCCAAGGATCACTGGCCTCGTGGATTCAGGTGCAACGGACATATTATGCTCAATTCGGAGAAGATGTCCAAGTCTACTGGAAATTTCAGGACATTGCGCCAGGCCATTGAGGAATTCTCTGCTGATGCAACAAGATTCTCTCTAGCTGATGCAGGGGATGGTGTAGATGATGCAAACTTTGTATTCGAGACAGCCAATACTGCAATCTTACGGCTTACTAAAGAGATTGCATGGATGGAAGAGATTCTAGCTGCAGAATCATCATTGAGTACGGGGCCGCCATCTACCTATGCTGATCGAGTGTTTGAAAACGAGATAAACATCGCCATCAAAATGACTGAGAAGAATTATCAAGATTACATGTTTCGAGAGGCTCTCAAAACCGGCTTTTACGATCTCCAAACCGCGAGGGACGAGTATAGGTTCTCTTGTGGCAATGGGGGCATGAACCGTGACCTTGTATGGCGTTTTATGGATGTGCAGACCAGACTTATCACTCCATTCTGCCCTCACTATTCTGAGTTCGTTTGGAGAGAGCTTCTGAAAAAAGACAGCTTCGTGGTAAAAGCAGGTTGGCCAACGGCAGATTCTCCAGATCTAAAACTCAAGAGTGCCAATAAGTATTTGCAGGATTCCATCGTGTTGATGAGAAAGCTGCTCAATAAGCAGATTTTGGGCTCTAAAGCAAATTCGACAGTCACACCAATACTTTTGCATCAGAAGGTGAAATAATGAAAGCGTTACAGGAGAGCACCGTTGGCCAGGCGGCGGACTTTAGAAGAACCCAGAAACTATGTATGCCATTCTTGAGGTTTAAGAAGGACGAGGCTATTAAAATCGGTGTCCAGGCCCTGGATTTGAAGCTTCCCTTTGGAGAGATCGAGGTCCTAAGAGAGAACTTGCACTTGATCAAAAGACAACTCGGCCTTGAAGAGGTAGAAGTACTGTCATTCGCTGATCCTGATGCCAACATTAAAGCCGGTTCTCTTGCATCCCTCTTAAGGCAGAATCCTCCATCTCCTGGGAATCCAACTGCCATCTTCTTGCCAAGGTGAATGAACATTATTATTTCCGTAGCTCGTTCGTGTTGTCGGATGCTTAGTTGCTTGAATGAAAATGGAGTTTATCGCTGTATAATAATGCACAGGTGAACAAAAATGTTTTCCAGAAATGTTGAATCTTAAGGGCTCTGAAGCAGAACTTTCGTGGTTGAATTGAAACGTTTTCGTGCTATCTGGACCAGATAGGTTGTAATTCCAGTTTTTTTCCTTTTACTGAACTATGCATTTGTCCTTTTTTATTTCTTCTTTTGAGCTTTTTTGTTCAGTTTTCTTCTTCCCCGTTTTCCACTACAAATCCCAACATTATTCAAATGGATGTTACAGTGATGGTACAAGCAATGTAGCCGATTCAGCATTATTATTATTTTTTGGAAAATATTAACAGTTTTTATTTAATTAAATAATTATCATTTACTTGTTAATTATTATGTCAAAACACACGTGACTCGCCATATTATTATTGTAGCTTTAATGCATACACCCTATATGTTAAGATAGCCAAACAACTATTATGTAAACACTCATAACAAAGAAAAGAAGAGAAGAAAATTTTAGATTCATTTTTATTAGAATGAAAAAGTTGCATTTAAAGTCATACAAGGGGTGCTTATATACAAGTCTGAACAAACGACTCTAACCACCTCTTTTACCAACTTTGCGAGCAACCCTATAAAACAAATTCATGCAATGCATTGCACAACATTCTTTAACATTCACCCTACTTGACAACTCATAACAAACACATCAAAACCTTTATTCTTCAACATTCACCCTATTAACAACTTGTCAATGCCTTTATCATTCGTCAACTTTTTAAACTATATTTTTACTGTTCAACTCATGAAACAACAACTTATCTTTGAGTTGAACAATCAACAGTCGTTGTCTATGCTTTAGGAATAAAGGAGCAGACAATGGTTTAGTTAGAATATCAGTAACCTGCTCAACTATTGGAACCTCATGAACATACAATTTTCCAGCAGCAACCATCTCTCTAACAAAGAACAAATCAAGTTCCACATGTTTGAATTTAGAATGAAGGACCGGGTTAAACACATACAACAACATCACTCGAATTGTCACACCATAATGCAGGTGTACCATGTAGAACAACATGCAATTCAGTAGTAAGGACTGAAGCCATACCATATCAGCCGCAGCACATGCAACACTAGGATATTCAACCTCAGCAGTAGATCTGACTACAACTTGTTGTTTTCGAGAACTCCATGAAACTAAGTTCCCAGAAAAGTAAATGCAATAACCAAAAGTAGAGCGCCGATTATCCACATCCGACCCCCCGTTGGCATCAGCAAAACCAGTTAACGTCAATCTTGAGGAAGGTGAGAAACGTAAACCAAAATCAATAGTGCCCTGAAGATAACGTAGAATTCACTCCACAGCTTGAA